TATTGTAAATATGGAATGCCTTACAGAAAACGCACTAGGCTATGGAAAAACATTACAACTTGGAAACCTAGAGATTTATGTAAAAAGGATTGTGGCAACATCAGGAATAACAAACATATTGAAACTGCACAACGGCTACCATCGGGCACTAAGGAAAAATGGGGAGACAATCCAGTATTTCATAAACAGGAAGACTTATACAGAATACCCCAAAACCTCATTAGTGATATTTTAGTGTCTCTCTTTTGAAATGTCAAAGCAAGGTGCAGATTTGAAGCATTACCGCTCTACCACTTCCTCAAACTGGATTGAATTGTAAAGTGGATGGGTTTTAACCCCAAAGTGGATGGATTTGAAACCCAAAGTGTATGGATTTGAACCCCAAAGTGTATGGATTTGAACCCCAAAGTGGATGGAGTTGAACCCCAAAGTGGATGGATTTGAATCCCAAAGTGGATGGAGTTGAACCCCAAAGTGGATGGAGTTGAACCCCAAAGTGGATGGATTTGAATCCCAAAGCGATATATTTCATATCCAAAGTGGATATATTTCATATCCAAAGTGGATATATGTCATATCCAAAGTGGATATATTTCATATCCAAAGTGGATATATTTCATATCCAAAGTGGATATATATATATATTGAATACACAAAGTAGATATACATATATATGTGTAATATATATATATTGAATATCCAAAGTGGAAATATATCGAATATCCAAAGTGGATATATTGAATATCCAGAATTGGATATGTTTAATACCCAAAGTGGATATGTTTAATATCCAAAGTGGATATATTTAGAATGTCTATACCATTTGAAATTAAAGCAACCTCTGGTTTGGAGTTAATACTATAATAATAACATGTAAAATCTTATATGTTATAATTATATTGAACCTATGGTTTGTTTCTTATTTTTTATTAATGCCTTAAAAATGACTTAAAGAAATAGTGCCTTAATATAATAAGAGGAAAATGAACGGTGATAAAATCAATAATTATATCAATAAAAAATGCTATGATTGTTGTCACTTCAAAAAAGAAAATATGGAATTGTATAAATTAAATTTACCTAATGAAATAGTGAATAATATTATTAATTATTCAATGGATGAAGAAGATATATGTAAAATTTGTAGAAATTGGAGATATTATCAAGAATTAATCAGATGTTTGTTGGGAATAAAAAGAATTCGACATAGAAATGTAGAAGATGATATTTTAATATTTCTAACTGTAAATAAAATACCACCTTATGATTATGTTAAACAGTTTCTTAAAATTAGTAAGAAAAAATATGAAATGATGGATGATATATTATGGATGTTGGGATATAGTCAAGATAAAGGAGAAGATGTTAAAGAAAATATCAAATTATTTATTGAAAGTAAAAAGTTTAATATTCAAAATACATAGAGATATTAATATTATTTTTAAAATGATGTATGAAAGAAGAAAGATTTGTCAATTAAATTATTATCCTGTACTGAAATTATAATCATACTATAATAATAACATGTAAAATCTTATATGTTATAATTATACTGTACTTATGGTTTGTAAATATTGAAATATTTTATTTTTCCTAATGTGCTTGTCTCTTTCAAAGTGCGTTGTTTGAACTTGGTATGCTCTTTTGATTTTTTCGTGCTTTGGCTGTTTGTATTTTATTTTGTTTGATACTCTTCTGATATTTTTTGATGGTATGTTGCTTTGTTTTTGATTTTGTGTGTTTTTGAGTTTGTGTTCTTTGATGGTTTTTATTTTTGCTGTTTTGTTGGTATGCTTGTTTGAATTATTTAATGTTTTATGCTTTGATTAAATATTTTGTTGGGGGTTGTTCTGGTTTTTGAGTTGCTTGGTGGTTCTTATCTTGTTTTCTGTGAATTTTGCTGATTTTGTTGTATGCTGTTTGATTTTTTGGTTTTGATGTTAGAAGTGCCATTTTAGGCCGGTCCCCCCCCCCCCCCCCCCCCCTTCCCCCACCCCCCCCTCCCCCCTTCCCAGGTGTTGATTGTTGCAGGAAATAGCCAAGCACTCAAGAAGGTTTATAAACTTTCCTGCAAGTTTATAAACCTTATGTAGTAGCAAATGGATACAGTTGTTTGGGGAAAAGGTTGTTTGGGAAAAGGAACAATCTTCGGTCCCAGGGAACACAATCCGAGCAATTTCTTCCAAACACTGTGTTTTACAGCATTTTGTTGGACCTCCAATCCCTTGAAATGTCCATGGTGAAGCACCTGAAACTTAGAATCTGGAGATCAGAATCCTCGAGATGTCTAATGTTGAATTCTCCAAGCCTCATAATTTGGAGCTGGGAGTCCAACATGTCCAAATATACATTCCTTTCCAGATACGATTTTGCTCCGAATCAAATTTGCAGATTGGATAGAATTTAGTAAGCACATAGTTCACCACCATTCACAATTCACCATAATGTCTATATTTAATCAGAATTTGAATAGGAATACCTTTCCAAATAAGGAAATTAACATTTCAGTAGAGTCTAAGTATACATTAATGCAGACAGAATTCAATTAGCTTTTGAACATAATATATTAATCAAAACTCCATCCCCAAATATAACTTAAATTGGAATAGAGCTTAATCTGGAAAGAAATCACTTGGCCTTTGCAAAAAAGTTTTAATAGTAACTCATTCCCAAATATGCTTTAGCTTAAATGTGGCTAAACAAATAAAGGGCACATATCCCCAGACTCCCAAACTTGGTCTGGAGATGTGTTTGGCATGTGCAGGTCTCAGAGCTTTCATTTTCAGGAGATTTTGTGCTTTTGGGTCTGTGCAGGTTGCAGAGCTCAAAGCTGCAAAAAGCATCACTTGTTCAATGTTGTTTCCCTGGTGTACTCAAAACCACTGTAAAAACCAAACACCAACAACAACACTGTTTTTACAGTGTTTTCAGGCATCTGCAAAAACGAGGCACACGGAGTAGACTTGACACCTTCAACTAGAAGAGAGGAAAGGTAGGCCCGGGGGGGGACCATATTTATATATATATATATATATTTATGTTTGTAGGGATCATAGGGATAGATGGATGGATTATATGGATATGGGCATGAATCTCTAGGGTTTCAGCCTTTGAGATGGTGCGAGCCACGGAGCCAACCAGAAGCCGCACGCCCGCTTTTTTGTGTTTCTTTCGGGGCCCTATCTGAAAGACAAGCCCCAACCAAGCAACAATCAAGAAGAGGTTTGTGTTCTTCCTGGTGTTCAACGTGTCGCACAACTCTCCGCACCGGCGGAAACAGTGACTGGGATGTGTGCGGGGCCAGTTTTTGGAGATGATCTTCAGAGCCATGGACATGGTGCCCAGCCAAAAGACGTGCTTTTGTTTTCCCTGAATATAATTAGTGCCAAAAAGGGAAGCAACCAGAGCAACAGCACTTCAAAGGAAACCTTTGGGCGTCTTCATCTTTGTCCAGCACCTATTGTTCTTTGTTGTGCCATTTTGTTTTGGTTGCGGCGGCTCCCTTTTTGTGTTTTGCTGTTTGTTTTTGAGTTTGGGTCGAAATGTTGCTTGAGGCCAAGCGTCACACATCCAAATGCTTGCTGCTCACGTTTGTGTTAAGAACTTGCATACGCCGCGACACACCCAGGACTCACAATCACGCACACCCACCCACCCACACACACACCCACCCACCCACAAACACACATCACACCACCACCACCACCACCACCACCACCACAACCACCGCCACCGCCACCGCCACCGCCACCGCCACCACCAACACCAACACCAACATCAACCCCACACACACGCGCGCAACACATTTGCTAAGCATGTTTTGCTAGACACACTAGAAGTATGAGGCTGCTGGCATATGCTGTGTTAAGTGTGTTAAGCACTTGTCTGGAACAAGCTAGACCTATGCTAGACGCATTCTAAAAATCCGCCGTGATAGTCGAGCAAGTAGATGGAGGGCGCTTTTTTGAGTCTCAAATGGGTGTGTTCCTTCGGAATCTTTCTCAAACCTGAAGGCTTTCAACGGAATGTTGGCCTTCTCGGGGGACGGCGCAAAAGCCACATGCGCTATTAGTGCCGGGCGCTGCATTCCCTGATTTGAGATGAGTGAATTCGGCTGTGGCCTGGCAGTTTTGGGCTCGTCTTCTGTGTTGGAATCGGATTTCGTTCCCCCTGCCTTGGATCCTGAAATACGTGTTTGTTCCATGGGGAGTCACAGGCTCGGTTTCGAGCGCTTAAAAAGTATCCCCGCATCCTCACATTTATTGAACACATGTTAGAGAGTGCAGCTGCATATGTCCGCAGCTCGTTTTCTGTTGCTAAAGCTTGGGTTTCTCAGAAGGATAGCACTCTCCGCGTTCGCAAAATTCACGTGATGCTGGTGTTCGGTTGGCTTGATTCGGCTCTGGGCTCGTGCCCGGATGCTGTCGGATCGGAACATGTGACTTCCCCTGTTTCCCAAGTTCCGCACGGAGTCTCCGACAGGTCGAGCAGAGAAAGGATTCTTCCGGACGAGTTTTTGAGATTTGCGAAGTCTACGCTTGAAATCGGCAAGACATTTGCACGTGAACCAGTCAGCGCGGGCTCTCACATGAGTGAGCTGGATATGTACTCAAGACAGAGCACCATCATCGAATCTTATTCTCTTGTGTGTGTGATCCCCTCGTTATCTCCATGTCCAACACATTTTCCAGAAGAAACATTGCTCCCAGAATCGAATCGTCTTGTGAGTACGGATCGCGAAGACAGACGGCAGCACCACATTTGGCAACTGAGCGAGCAACATTTGGGTGTGTCATTTCTTGAGGGTACCCCCTTTGTAGTGGTATTCAAGGGACACCAAAAGGAAATGCGAAATTCAACCTGAAAGGAGACACCCCCCCCCCCCCAATTTCGTGGTATCCAGGGGACCCAAAAGGAAATTCGAGATCCATTTTGGGGGGTCCGACCTTAAAGGAGACGCACCGATTTGGCTGGATGGCACGGATCTGTGAGTTCTTCAGGCTGCCAAGACTTCCGCGGTGGCTGCAGCATCGGCGGGTCGACACCTGGAATGGCGGGGTCCAGGGTTGGGACTGGGCAAAACCGGGTAGATGGGTCTGTCTTTTTTTAGGAAGCCCCCTCAATTGTATATTGAAATAAATAATGTTTTGTTTGTTTAAACCTACATCAGGATGACGATTTTCCTTGTGGTTTCCCTGTAAAGCCACCAAATTGGGGGTCACCTCAGACAGGGACGAGCCGCCCATAGGTCAAAGCGGGAAGCCTGGGCCAGGGTGTCCAACGCGAAGCTTGTTCGAACCAGCTGCAAGCTTCCAGGCAACTTTTCGGTAGGTAACCAGGTGTTACCTCAAGGTTTAGAGGATGGTTCCTGCGTACTATGGCATGGCTTGCCTGGAAGAAGAGGGAAAGCTACCTCACAGTTGATGTTTCGTCCTTCGCACCATGCATGTCAATGGTCCCGTCGCGATCGATTTGTACGTGCAATGAAATTACCTTGAGGTTCAAATACCCAGTGATTCTGGTGTCCATGAGAAGTCTCATGAAACCTCGCTGCGAAGCTGTGCCAAGCAAACACTGGTTCATGGCTATCAGAAGGGATCACTGCCACAAGTTCCACATCTCCCTCGTGCCCGGAGAAAAAGGGACATATGCTGAACAGCCGCCTTGGACAGGAGGGGAAGCTCATTTTTTTGATTTTGTTTGTTATCTTCCTTGTTTTCTTTTAAGGGGTTTGTTTACTGAAAAAGGGCTCGCTCCAGAAATTTCAACATTTGGTCGTTCAATATATTTTTCCTTTGGTCCCCCAAAAGACAGGGTTTCCTCCATTTCCTGGCAGGTTCAATAAACACCAGACAATTGATCAACTTTTGATTTGGGGAAATCCTGTGGCTCCTCTTTTGAAAGGGTGGTTCCCATGGTTTCAAACGCAATGGAATTCACTGGGTCACCCAAGCCAGTCTTTGCATGCGGTTTTCCCATGTACCACAACCAGGGGTTCAAATTACCAAACCAACCCAAACCACAAAGTACTACCTGCGTACCTCACCTCCCATCCCGAAAGAAAAACGTGTCCCTTTCCGAAAAACGGGTCCCTTTCTCAGCCGCCGTCCGAACAGCTCGGCGGGCGGCCGCCGAGTCCTCGGGCGGTCAATTCGTCGGGTCTTTTTGCAACCGAGAAAATTGGCGACCCCCTCAAAAAGGAATCCTTCACTACGAGGGGGTCGATGATTTTTCCACAAGAGCTGGCAAAAAGACTCCCCCCTGGTTTGGGCGGCGGAAGGCTGGACCTCGGGGCAGCCTTCGCCTGGAGCTGCCGCGCTGGGCAGCTGGGCAGCGGCGCGGGGCGCCTGCGCTGCGCCGCGCTGCAGGCGGACGGAGGGCGGGGCAGTGGGGGGGCGGCGGGGGGGGGGTGGCGGGGTGCGGGGGGGGGGGATTGGGTGGGTGGGGGTGGATGAGGAACGTGGAGGGCAGGAGGAGAAGAATGCCACAAACATGCGTGGAGGTCTAAAGAGCCAGCCAGAAAGTGGCATAAGAAGCGAGTCTTGGAGTTTGTTTTGAAATTGTTTTTGTGTTGGGCTGCCTTTTGTAGTTTCCCTTGAAACTTGTCCAGGCTTTGTATCCCTTTCGCGTGGCTTGTTCACGCCGGTCCCCTCTGCAGGAGGGACTTGGCAGGGTTGGCGGATTTGTCGGGTAGATGGCATTTTTTGTTGTTTTGCGACATGGTGTCCTTTTCATCCTCACACATCCCAACAAGCTTCCCCGGCGTCCCATTTTTTGTTTTCCCAAGACGTTTGTCCATTCAAAGCATTCTTAATTTGGAATGTATACTACCCTTCATATTTAAAGAATCCTAAAAGAAAGAACTAGAAGCGAACCAACCATGGTTGTTGTTCGGAAACATCTTACATTTTTGCTTATTGTGGTTTGGTTGAAATCCCCACTGAACTGCTAAAATCTGAACACTTTTGCTCCCCTTCCAACGTCAACCAAGCAACAGGAAGAGGTGAACCCCCCACCCCCGGCGAGCGAAGGGCACAGCTCACCAAGCGCCGTTAGGCTGAGGCTTGGCCTGGGCATGTGGCGAACCTCAGCCTAGCGGCCAGGGAGCTGCGCGGGGATTCCCGGTTTCGTTTCGAGGGATCCGGGAGGGCAAAAAAACAGAAATAAGCAGAACTGGTTTAGCAAAATAATAATACTAGTAATAGTAATGATAATAAATGATATGAGTAATCAAATTAAACTAGTAATAAGAATAATAATACATGCTATAGCCATCAAACAACGAAGAACAACAAACAACAAAAAACACACAGAACTTGGTTTCCCATCGGCCCAGTGGCGCCCGCTGTTTTTCCCCCATGTTTTTTGGGGTGGGTGGGCTCCCCTTTAAACTCACACAACCAAAAAAGGATGCCGATTCCTTTTTTCCCATGGCCACTGGGCATCTGAGTTTAGCAATTAAAAAAACTGTTAGCCATCAACCAAAAACAACTTTTCGGCAATCCAAAACAAAGAAGTTAGCAGCGCATTCACGCCGCAAAGTGCGCACCTTGACTTTTCAGCGACAAAAGCATGGTGCCCAATGACAAGCAGGACTGAAGCAGATTGCAAACGACGGCTTCAGTCGCCAATCTGCAGCAGTTGCTTCGGCTGGCAAGAAGCATGCAGGAGTCTGTCATCCCAGAGAACTTTGTGAGAACTTGGTTTGCAAAACTGACCGGCGCCGGTTATTCGCGACCTTGGAACTATGGACGCGTTGCATGCGTTTCCACCGAGTGAGTGGCCGAGCACCTTGAAGGTAGCTTCCAGGCATTTCGACCCAGAGGCGACGGCAGTGGTGCTCCATACTCCTGCCCTTTTCATAGCCGTGATCAACAAGCTTGCCAACAAAGAGTACATGTAGCTATGCGGTGATGAGTGGGTTGTCATAACCTTGGGTGTTGTAATGAAACTCTATTCGAAGTCCGATTGCCTTTGTGCACTTCGCTCTACTTACACCCCCTGATTCTTGCTGTGCAACATTGACTTGGAAGCGGCCGCACGCCACTACCACCACAGGAGAGGAAAGAGAAATCTGCCTGTAATTCCATAGGTGCCAAGCCTTTGCCAGGCATGCGTGCGACGATGGCTCATCCTGCTTTGCCATGCGCCGCGCATTGGGCCTACGCGGAAGGCGACAGATGATAGCAAAGTGAGATGAGAACGTACCCTGCCGGCTAGCCCCAGTGTTAGCTCGCCTAGTACGGAGCAAGAGACAGCCTGGCCCTTCGTGACGCTTTGTCCCAACTTTGCACAGACGCAGAGCACCTTCAACAGTTGTGAAAAGCATTGCTGGTCAAGCGGTCGTAGCAGGGCTCTGTCGCAAAAGGTCGTAGCGCGTCTTGTGAGCAGAAAACAGGGTGTGTAGAGGCCATCTGCTTCTTCACTTTTTCCCTGCACACATCGTGCGAACACGCACATGCTGCACTGATCGATCTGCAGCACATCAAGCTCACACAGGCCAAGGTGCTTCGCGCAGGCCGGCCAACGGCCCAGAAGAACTTGCCGCACGCAGACGTGATCTCACCAGCTAACACACACGCGTCAAGCTCGAGCCGACAGGGTCGAGCCCACCAGCTACAAAACCTAGACTCAGTGCAGAAATGCATGCAGTGCTGAGTTCCGCTCAATGCTCTAAGTACTCTGCCTTCTTCCGATTCGCCGAGCTCCCCTTCGAGATTCTTCTGGTGATCTTCTCCACTGTTTCGGCGGCTTTGCTGATGTCATTGTAGAAGCAGGCCTGCGCGGTCCCGAGCATCTTGTTTCGGTGGGTTGTCTGTCTGTGTTGCCAGCCACACCTCAAGAGTCAAGGCGCGGCCCCCTTCATCTGTCTACTTTGCTCTATTTCGCGCGGGGCCGGCTTGAGTGTTGACGCGGAAGACTCTCGCAGCATGCGCGCTTGCCTGGCGCGCAGGGGCCTATTACAGCTTTGCAGATGTTCCAGCCCTTCACTTGCCCCTCAGCTATTGTGAGGATAGTTGCTGCTGTGGCCACTCAGACACAACGCCCAGCCAGCCACCGCACACACAAACACACCTACACGCACGCTCCCACTGCTTGGCAGGCAGATGTGCCCTGCTTTGCCAGCCAGGGCCCCACTTTCTTTGCAGCTCGGCGACGAGCTTTCGGTCTTAGTGAGAGTTTGCGGCATGCTTCTTGTCTGGGGAAGCACGTAGATATGCGCCTGACGCCGAACATGAGCAGGCATTGGAGCGCAAGCGCCACTCCTATACTGTTTTACTACTTCTGTGGCAAGTAGCGTGGTGGCTCCGTCGAGAATCACCAGAACGTTGATGTGTTCACCGGTTCCTAAAACAATCTGACCATGATCAATAAAGGTTAGTTCTCCAAATGTCTCAGCAGGCCACTAGTCTTGCTTCTTGACGGTGCAATTGAGGCCTGCTCGGATCTTGTCGCACAGGTCATAGATCTCCTTTCGCAGGTGCAACGCGCGAGTCCTGAACTTGAATTGTGCTGCTGACATATGGTGACATACGAAGCTGCTAGCCTCTTATGGTTGGGTTGAGGATGTGTCCGCAACACGAAAAAGACCGCAACACTGAGAAGCACTGTCTTGACGCAGGGCTCCACAAAAACTTGATGATCGAACGGGCCTGACACGTGTACCCCCTGACTTAATTAAGTCTGGCAGACCTAAGAAATTAGCGAACACGCAGCCCTTGCCGACCCAAAATGGCTGGCGACATCAGACGCGCGCCTCCCCTGACTCAGGTCTGGCAGGCTTGGGCGTTGACAGGGCGATCCAACAAGTTTGGCTCAAGCCCTTGGCCCCATGCCACAGTCTGTAAAAGCGTTTCTGCATTTTCAATCCCAGAAGCCGCGCCGCCTGGCAAGGATTTGCTTTAGCCCACAATGAAACATGAGACGCCTCACCACCCGCCCTGCTCAAGACGTGCACCGCAACCGGCCTTCCGGGCTTCGATGTTGGGAACAGCGCGCTGGGCTGCTCAACACTTTCCTCCATTGGTCTATCTATGTTCGCGCCACCGTGTGCAAGGGCCCGATCTCGCGCAGCTGCCATGGACTTGCAATATTGGATCGCTGTCAGAAGCGATCACCGGAGAGCTTGCCACTCCTGGATGCTGCCAAGTTTGGGCTCAGGACAGCCAACCTAAAATGTGGGTGTCAGTCCCGCAGGTCTGTTGTGCTGGTTGCAGACAAAGCCACCATTGGGTTCTGTGTTTTAGGCAAACTTGCTTTGGCTTGAGTCACAAAAAGTCTCAGGCCACCAGATCTCAACTGTTATTAGGTCTTCTTGCGACATGTTCAACAAGAAGCTTGGACAGGCGTAGTCTTCAACTTGTCTCAGACAGGCGGCCGAAAACAGTTCGGCTTAATGATCCTTGTTTGTAATCGCGCGCTTTCCGCCTGCGTGTCTGATTTTACCCCGACCCCCCCCCCGCTTCCAGCTGCGTCATCCTTGTCTATACTTGCGCACTTTCTCCATGAGTGTCTGGATCGGCTTTGTGATCCTGTCTCCGTTACTCTGTTTTCCAACAAGCCCACCACAAACCAGCATTGCAGCATCCTAAACAAGCCTGGAAAAATGTCACTGACAGGTTGGTTGCCCACGGTTGTGTGCATTTTGTTCTGGCATGAAGACTGTGTCTATGTGAAGAGTTATGACAGCGAAGAAGCTCTGAAGCCATCCACATTTCCAGCTTGCCTCGCCTGCTAATTTGCGGCCCCTGGCGTTTCCCCGCTTGCGATGCAGTATTGACCAGCAATGCGCAGCAGAGTCGGGGAGTGGAGTTTCAAACTCTCTGTCCCTCCTTCTCTTTCTCTATCTCTCACAGTCTTGCCCTGTCTTTCTGTCTGTCTGTCTGTCTTTCTGTCTTTCTGTCTTTCTCTCTTCCCTTCTCCCGTTTTGTTTTTTGCTTGTCTCTTTGTCTCTTTGTATTTTTTCTCTTGTTTTTTCTCTTTCTCATTCAAATTCTGTTTTGCTTGTCAGTTCCTCTGTGTCTCTCCTTCTCTGTCGCTCTTACTCTCTTTTTCTACTTCCAGCGACATGAATAAGCTCTGGCCTATACTGCTTCGTCGTCGCAAAAGAGTAACCACACAGCCACAGCAAGTGTGATGAGACCGTGTGCGTGCGTTGTCTATTTCCTTTTGATACACAACAAACACTCGCAAAATAATAACCCATACACACACACGCAGCACGTGCGTGTGATGAACCACTTGCGCGCGCGCATTGGCTTTTAAAAAAACACGAAATGTTTGTCACAAAATGCATCCCTCAGTGAGGTAAGTTTGGTTGGTTGGTTGCTATTGTAATTGCTAAATAAAGTTGTTTTGATTGCTAAAAAATGATATCCGACCCTTTTGTTTCTGCCCCCGTTGAAGTGGCGTTTACCTGCCAACAAACAGGTCCCAAAAAGACACCCCCACCGCTGGCTTTTGTGGCCTGTTCCGGGTCCCCAACAAACGGTCCGGATTTTTTCGAGGCGTGACTCCACTTGAGACCTGGGGCCTAGGTGTTCGGGTTGAGAACCTCAAGAAACCGATGTTAATCTCGGATTTCAACCTTGGCGCGGTTTCCTTGGTCAGAAAGTACACGTGGGACCACCATTTGCAACAAAACATCTCGGACTTGGTGCTCTTTTAGTACTCGTTTGTGAACTTGCGTGACCGGAGCGTGACATTGGATCTGAGAGGAACTTGCAGCTGTTGCCAATTGCCAATGCAGGCCTTAGTTTGACACCCATCTATTGAGGCGTGCACCCACCGCGATTCTTGGGGCCTCAGGTTTTCCCATGTTCATTCTCTCCAGGACTTGCCAGGAGGCTGAACAAACAATACCATCCCCTCCCCCCCTTGCAAAAGTTGACTCAAACTGCAATCATCCAACCAGGAATGTCAGCTCCAGTTCTTGATTTTGGCAAGGGATGATCTCATGTTTTTGTGTTTCCTCGCCGGTCGTATCGGGGGGCTTCATCTTGGTCTGCACAAAACCATATTATATATTCCATCTTAGCCTTCAAGTAACCAAATATCAAAATCCCCCCCAAGTCCCCGAGTCATTTGTCGATTGCCGAGGTCACTTGGCGAATGATGAAGCCCATGCCGCAGTGGCTGTCTATGTGGGGCCCTCAGTGCTGGACCGCCCCGCTTCCTTTTGGCACCTTCAGCAAAGCTAGTCCCACACTCGGCCTCGATTTTCAACAGGCTGGGCAATGAAAGTCATGAAACGAAAGTGGAAGGTCCTGAAGGGTTGATTGTCCAGGGGGGGTTCTTCATGCTTTTCAACATCATTTCAAGCATGTTGGCTTTCAAGAGGTTTTCGAGAAATCCCTTGGAAAAGACTGGGGGACCCCTAGAAATAGGGTCCGGCAACTTTTGAGACGCTGTTGGATTGCCGAGGTTCAAAACTCGGCCCCCGTTCAAGGGCAGACGTCGTTGTCCGCGGCTGCATCTTTCAAACTGGTTTGAGGGCCTTTGCCAGCTTGTTTCACAGATTTGTTGAAGCGTGTCAGAGTTTTATGTGGCTGTGGGTCAAAACCAAGGGTATCCCATTTTGGTTGGTAGGTGAATTCACCACCCATTTTAGGACCTATGCTTGGACTGGGATGTTTACTGAGGGGTACGGGATTTTGGTTTTGACCCATGGCCATGGTGCGCAATTTCGCCCTCAGCACTTGTGTGCCCTGTTTGCATGTTGCTCGATGCTGGCGCCAGAGGAGACCCGTATGACCTCTCGCCTAGCGCCAAGCAGATCGGGAGCGCTCCAAAACCCCAAAACCCCAAATTGTTGAATGAGTTAGATCTCCTATAAAACAGCATTTGATCTATTGTGTAACATCAAGTAAAATCAATGAAAACAAACTCAATATCCTAATCAAAGCATTCTGCTATTAAGTCCGGTTGGGGAGGTCTCCATTTTTGCTTTCCACGCAGACGTGCGTGTCCAGTGCGCGCCACGCCGCAAGTTGCGTTGCCAGTTCGGAAGGTCCTTAGCAGTCACCCAAACGGGCAACCCGAGCGCGGTAGCTGGCTTTGTCGGCCGCTGACTTAGAAAGCAGTTTGTCAGGCCAAGTACCAGAATTCAGGGTTCTTTTTCTTAGCAGCAGTGTGCACTGTTCCTTGTCGTTCAATGCAGGCGGAGCATAGGGTCTCTTGAACAGAGTGAAGACCACGTGGAGGTGGCACGAAAGCTGGAGTCAACCTGGACCTTCCCACTGATGACACTGTTCGTGTACGGCAGCTTGCCGGATGCTTGGCCTGCTTTCTTCACACGGTCGCCACAAATCCTGTGAGCAACGTGTGAGCAGTCTGCTACAAACACTTGGCCACAGCTCTTGGCAGACCCTCTCCCGTCGTGGTCTGACAGGTCATCTTACGAAAACCAATGCCTGCCGACAATTTCACCACGGACCGCGGGCAGAAGACGAGTATAGCAATGACCAAGTTAGGCAGAATCTGCTCGCGATGCAGGATGCACCGTCCGAGAGGCGTTCGGGTAAATCCGCTTGGCCTCTCGGTTTGAATCAAAAAAATGGTGCGCCCTGGTTGCTGTCTCAGCACCCCTCTTGGATCACGACCGGGTCCCAAATTTTTGGCGCAACCGAGGCAACGCTGGGCTCTCTACTGGCACGCTTCTGGCACCGAGCGGTGCTGCAGGGCTGCCGGCTGCCGCAGCATGGCAAAGAGGAAATGGGCAGTCGAGGGGGACCATGAAACTAACTCTTGACAGCCAGTCGGGCCATTCCCAGGG